CAGGGGAAAAACGCGCAGATTTAGTATATTACAGGGGGGTTTGGTGCAATTTACCCCAAATTAAATACTCGAGAATGAGACAACTAATAATAAATAATGTAAGTATATGTTAGGGCAGTAATGTTCGGCCACGTGTTAATATGTTCATCTCTTATGTGACATGCACATATTATTGACGTATTTTTTTTAAACATATTAATATCACTAATGTGTGCATGCTACATAAACGATGGACATATTAATATGTGTCCACCGTATACAGGGAGTATTATTTTATGTTAGAGAGAGGGGGAAAGGGGAAGAGTGTCTCTACAACTACAAAGCTGTCCTGTCCTGTACCTACTTACATGGACTTTCTTTTCCTCCATTCTTTAATTAATTAATTAATTAAAATACTCTACTGCATTATTTATTGTTGATTTAAAAAAAAAAAAAAAATTGCTCCCATAATGCGTGTGGTGGACGTTAATCTCGAGTTTACCCTCGTCTTGTTGGTGATATTACCGAAAACCGTGACGCTCCTTCTACTCCCTCACACTAGGCGACAATAAAATAATAGTATAACGAGGATCATGGAGTGATTCGGGTCGGATTTGATGCCAGTGATTAAGAGTTTATGAAAATTTCAAAAAAAAATTATCATTTTAACTCAACTAATTTTTTAACTCAATATTAACTCAATCTGGATGTTATTAATATAATTAAATAATATCAATTAATCATTTATACACACCACATCAACTTTAATTCACTATTCATTCACTCACAATATTTTAACTAATCATCACGTCAAATCATTTCTCTCCTACTTTTACATAAATCTATTTTTATTATTTTATTTTAAGTATTATTTTAATATATTCACTACCCACTAACCATACAACTTTTTTCAAAACTAACCAAACCAAACCAAAAAATCTAACAAAACAAAAAAAAATTCTATAAACAAACATGCTCTAAGCTACTGATGGGGCCGGTTGGAAAGACGCCCTCAAGTGCATTCTTGGTTGGGAACCGTATGTGTGTGAGGCATGGCTCGAGAGTTAGGTGGGTGTAGTTAGCCAACTCTTTTGGGAGAAGAGAGTTACGAAATCCGCTTCTCGAACTATTGTTTTAATTGCTTTGGTCAGGTGTGTGGAGAAGGGCTCTTGTTTGTTTAGTTTTTTTTCATTAGTTGTGTTGTTTGTGTTATGTTGTTTAGTTTGTGTTTTATTTTCTTCTCTCCCGTTGGAGAGTGTTTGGTGTATTCTCCTGTTGGGAGTTTTTTTTTTTCTCCTTTTGAGAGTTTTTTAGTTGTGTTTGATGTAGTAGGTTGATTATAGGTTGCCTGATTGGTCGAAAAAAGAGTGTATTATATATATTTATTGGCGTATTTTATATGCTTAATTTTGTCGCACTTATATATTTTTCGACTCATTTATTTATTAGATGGATTCAAGTGCTATGATATTTTTATGATTTAATTTCAGGATATTAGAGTATTTTCGTGGACGACGTGACACTAAACGAAATTTCATTTGGAGCCGTACATGTTGGTGTTATATACTTAAGCTTTGCTTTAGTGGATATTACACTTGTTATT